CATTTTAAATGACATGGAAATGTCACATCATCATTCAACGCGCCACATCATTAAAAACATGACTTCAAATGGCAAGGGGACTAATATCAATCTCGAAACTTAAAAAAGGGACCAAAATCGTGGTTTTTAAAATGGGGGGATCAAAACCCAAAAAAATACAAAATAGGGGGACCAAAGTTGCAATTAAGCCAAAAATATATGTTAATGTGCATGCTCGCAAAAGTCCACATAAAAATAAGGTTGGGCATGACGGACACATTAGAGGGTGTTGGTCTAAATCATTGACACGCTCCACACTAAAGTGCAGACAAAATTAGTGTGTCTAACGGGCCAGATCCGTTTTTCACCCCTTATATGTGCATCTCACACTCTTAAAAATTAAAAAACACTCTTCATGCAATCGAATATGCGTCTTCTGACGCACCAAAAATTACTCCAGCAAAATATACTCTGGAGATGTTGTTAGCTCTCATTTTTGACGCTAGCAAAATCAGAATTATATCAAGTCAGAATGTTATTTTAAAACATAAGAAGACTTCGACACAACTTTGATGAAGCCTGAGTCGAAGAGAGGTTGGGAAAATTTCTAGAAAAATGCTAAGTGTTGGAAAAGCCTTCGACCAAGATCCTGCTGGAAGAAACGCGTGGCAGTTACCATTAAGGCTGGAGGGATTCTTAATATTTAAGTTTCAAATTGGTAGTGGGTGAACATGGGAACAGTTGAAGTTGGGAAAAAAGCGCCAAAAGGACACGTTGAAAAACAATAACAGTCATTTAGTAGTTATTTGCTAGCATTATAAATAGGAGTTATTTTTATAGAATAAGGGTGTTAATTCGTCTTGTATAAATAGGAGCCATTTGTATGTTGTTGTTTATTCTGCATTTTCCTTCGCATGTTATTCTTTAACCTTCACCTTTTGTATTTAACTGCCTTTCTATGCCTTTCCTGAGACTTTATTTTCATCTACACTTTATGCTATTTAACTTTCTGCACTTTACCTTAACCTGCAATTTAACCTTCTGCACTTTCCTTTAAACTTGTCATTTTCAAAACCTTTTTAACACCTTTTTATAGTTACTTTCCTGCACTTTTACACTATTGTTTTACTTTTGACAGCGCACACATTTACATTATTGTCTTTAATTTCAAAGTCATTTATATTATTGTCTTTAATTTCAAAGTCGTTTACATTATTGTCTTTAATTTCAAAGTCATTTACATTATTGTCTTTAATTTCAAAGTCATTTACATTATTGTCTTTAATTTCAAAGTCTTTTACGTTTTCCCTTTAACTTTCGACGCATTAAGAATTACGCTCGTTGCTTTACAGCCTTGTTAATTTCCAAGTTATTTCTACTTTACAAGTCTTTCATAGTCGAACGTGGAGTTCAAATTAGATTTTCTTTCAAACTTAGCACATGTCCTAGGATTTGTTTGGTCGATCCTGCAAGTTACTCAATTAGACCCAAGATTGACAGACCAGCGGTTGTTTACCAAATTTCACAGTAAACAAATTGGCACACCCGGTGAGACCCAATGCTAAGTATCCCAAAGTTTAATTAAACATATTCATCTTTTGGCGCAATACTTCGTTGTATGTTATTGAGGAGTGGGAAGTTAGCCACAACACACAAAGTAGGACCAAAAGGGAAATATACTAAGAGAATGACAACAAATGCTAGTCAACAAGTTGATCCTCAAGGAAGTGTTTCAAATACTCAGTCAAGCAGCATGGGGTCGCAAAGTGTACCGTCTCCAGTGTCTTCGACGGGAGGACAGACGTCACCACCAGCAATTGCGTCTGAACCTATGCAGTCTATGGCAAGCCCAGGGTCAACATGTGTAAGAACGTACACTCAAACGGTGTTGGAATATATAGGACCACAAATTCCTAATTCACAACACCCCCAAGAGGAAGTTCACTGCATAGGCATTTTCCTCCTCCAGGTTTCTCACAGCCATTGCCAAGGAGTTTACCTTATGGTATGCCTACGTCAATGATGCAAAATCTACAGAGCGCTCCACCTATATTTTCAGAAAACATAGTATCTTCGCCAGTGCAAGGATCTGGATCAGGTGGTCGAAACCACCAAAGCATAAGTGTGTGTTACTCTGTGCAAGCACCCAGTCTTACAAATACTTCCATAAACTGTTTGAGACAACAAATGGATGAAAGTAATATGTAAATGGTACATACATTGTCTCAGACAATGGGAGAAGTTTTTCAACCGTTGATTCAGAATACTACTCAAACTAACCAACAATTGGCAACACAATTAGCACGTATGACTGATTTTATGGGAGTACCAGCATTTGATCAGAGAGCAACGGTTGTTGAAAATACCCAACGACATCATCCGCGAAATGTACCTGAGGCGAACATGGAGGATCAAGAGATGGGCGAACCTTTCAGAATCGAACCACGAAGGAACCAGGTACCAATCCATATGGAGGAAGAACCAGGAGTAGTCATGGTGAATAGAAATCAAAATGCTGACCAAATCCTTAAATGAGTTCGGCAACCATGTTTTCCATGACGGCCAATTGGGGACTGTCATCCTCAAAAAGTCATGCCTCTATGTCTGCTCTATTCATCTCCACAACACGCCGACAGACCACTGACACGCTCTCGGTGTGATCATTCCTAGCCTCAAGTACCTCATGATTAGTTGGCCTAGGTGGTTTTCCAGGAGCGTCTGGTGTCATGATAAGGTGTGACATCCTATAAAACAATGTCATATAGTTGTCTACATAGGCTTAGTGTACAAAAGCTGGCACCCTGTGATACTCCTCTAATACCAATTAAGAGTTGTTGGGATTAATTTCAATGAGGTAATTGAAGCTTGAAAATGGTGCACTTGAATCTTGCTCACGAGCTCTTAGAAGGGTTTGTTAAAGAGTTTGTGAAAGTGTACCAAATGAAGAAGAAATGGGAAAGAGTCTGACGTGAGTTCTATTAATTAAAACCCGTATGGAGATGCATCTCCGCAAAACACTGAGTTTTAAAATAAGGGTCATTACAGAGATGCATCTCCTAACACATCTTGGACAAAATGAGATGACTCGCTTACAAAAATGTTGGGAGTGTGTAATGTGAATATTTTCGAAGATGCATCTTCAGAATCTTGTAATATTTGTGACTTTTCACCGTGGTGAACTAACACTACATGGAATGGATAAAGCAATGTCATCGTAATATTCTACTTATATTTCACAGTTCTATCACTTTGTCATCAATAGAAATGGCTGAGAGATCTAGAGGTGTTCATTGTTTCGGACAAATCTAAACCAAATATTGTGTCAGACATTTTTTTAGTTCGAAAAAAACGCAAACCAAAACAATGAAACTCGATGTTAATTGGTTTGGGCAACAAATTTCTAAAATTCTACCGCGAGCCCATCTACCTGAACCAACTATATTAATTCATATAATTTATATCATCATTATCATGAAAACTAATATAAGATATTCAACTTCAAGAAGAAAAATAAAGCTCTATTTGTGACATTCATAACCTATATGGAGAAATGGAAAAAATAAGAATTTTATATTATTATTAATAATTGATGTAAATTAGAGATTTTTTTTAAATATTTTTATATATCTATTCTAATGTATTCGATTAATCCAACTCAAATCAATTTGTTATTTCCTGGTTTAAATTATATCCAAAATATATAAAAATTCAATTCAAACTAATATATATATTCTTGATCGGTTTGAATATCAAGTTTCTCAAAATCAAATCAAACCGGTCGGCGAACATGTTTAGAGAGATCACTTAGTTGTAAATTTGCACTTCAACCTTGTGATACTCGAGACTTGGCACCGAAAGAAAGAAGAAATTGTTTTTTATGGATGAAACCGTTATAATGCTCAATCAAATGTCATCTGCAATTCACTTGGACCAATCCAAGTGAGTTTGTTCAAAGAAAGTCTCGGTTGCCAGAAATAAATATCTTAGACAATTAAATGGCACTATATACATTATTCCAGAACCAAAGCATTAACACGGGACAAGTGACTCTACATTACTTATTTATTTTTGTTGATAAGCCAGCTATTTCATCAATTTTACTTTCATGTCTGTCAAAAAGAATTTTAAATTAAACTAATTGATAACTGAGACGCGTTGATAAGACTCTCCAACAGACATTGTGTATGTATAATAGTCATTTTTATTTTCACGATTAAAATAGTGAGCTTATAGATATTGATTCGACAAAAATAAGATAAGTCAGAAATAGATATTTTGTATTGAATCGTCATCAATGAAGTCGCTACCTTGTCCATAAAGACAAATATGAACAATTCTTTGGCTTTATCAACATTTCTTTGGCAACTTTATCTTTGACTTTGTCGGTTTGGAGCGTTCTAAAGTTAATATTTCAATTAATTAACTTTTACTATCTTGTCAATTGATTTAATACACTGATCAATTTCTTAGCCAAATAATTTCCTGCTTTAGAATTCACACTCACACTTTCAAGTTATTTCATCAATTTGTATTTCAAACCGTATTCTCATCAAAGTTTTACTATAATAAAACATCATAAGATTACCTCAACATGAGAGCTCAAATCTCAGATAAGACATTCAGGCAAAAACCTTCAAACACACGTATGCATTGGTCAAATCATCTGTCATGTGATTCTTAATTTCCCAAGTAGACGATCAGTTTTTAGATCGGATTGAGGAGGGATAAAAGCAGCTCTCCAAGTAGACATGTCCCAGAGTTCAAATGGTGACACTTTTATTATAAAACGATGCACAAAATTTTCAAATATTGAAAACAAGTATTTTACTTACAAACATGTTGTAGAATGTTATACAAAGGTGTAACCAAAACCTCAAAATTGATTGTTAAAATGAATCAAATCTTAAGTTTCTCTCCAAATAATTTATCATTATCTGAGGTTTTCCCTTCCTCTTTAATTCCTCGTGTGTCCTGCATATTGTCTACAAAAAAGTTATTTGCAATTCTTGTCTGGAACTATTTCAAGTAACTTTGTGGGAGAGCTTGATATAGTTTAGGAGCCGTTTCAGTGCACTACCACTGTCAATGGCCTCTCTGGCTCTATCCAGGGCAGCAGATATATCTTCTGCGCCTTCAGCACCAAGCAAGTGATCCACCATTCCAGCATTCAAGACAATTCGATCATATGCTGGTCCTTTTTCGCCGCTGAGAGCTGATAAACCCAATTCAAGGTTCCTTGAGACCTGAAGTTCAAAAGAGTACACTCAGTCAAATATTTCAAAAAGAATGAGACGTTGACAACAGTAAGCAATTCAAAACAATTTGGGGCCCTCCATTGCTCATGGGTAAAACAGCATATACAAAGGCAGGTATTAGAATTGCAAATAAAAAGCTTCATACTTTTCAAAAACTATGCTTAGTGGAGTATAGCTCATTACAAAAAATCACGATCGCGAGATACTTAATACTAAAATGGAATTGGGCATGGACCACTATAATGGCTGACAAAATGGAATTAACATAGTTTCACTGTTTTCATAAATCCATTTTCAGTCAATCCTTACATCTACAAACACTCTTTTACATGGTTATACATAACTTATGCGGCAGAAAACGAACATAGAAAGATAACAAATAATCTACCAAGTTTGTGTAGGAAACAAAATAAGAAATGAAAAATTGCAAGATTAAAAACAGGTTTGTATCAGCAAGTGAATTTTCAGAGCGGATGCATGTATTTGTTGGATAGAGGGACATATTAGTTGTGCATTTGTTTTAGTGAGGCTTTTTTAATTTAAAAAATAATAATGTATCCCACTAAAATCAAAATAATTGAGGCCTTAGTGATTTGCAACCACATTTCTTGCAAGATATTGGATAGAACATTACAAAGCGGAGAAAAACACAAATCTAGAAAATTTTACGGATCTATCAGTTCTTGGTGTGTCTGTGGGTTCGAAACCATAGTCCTTGGCATTGACTTCAAGACTAAATCCTTGACGAGTAACTCCTGCAATATGAAATAATAACAATATTTTAAGTTTATCGATCTAAGGTATGATGCAACGCAAAATGATCAGTTTGCTAATCAGAATCTGGCAAAGTGCGAAAGGGTTGTCAATGTGCATTGGAAATAAAAAGTAAACAAAAGAAAAATTGTTGATGCAGACATGTTTGAAATTACTATTTAAGAATAAATTATATATTGAACTAATAGAATAAATAAGGAAACCAAATACATACCACCAGGTTCTGATGTGGATGAAATGTCAACTGAACGGAACCCTGAACAGTAATTCACTGGAAGTCCCTTTGTCGTGCTAACTGATCGCAATCTCGTAGTCATTGAGAGTGCTCCTTCCTCTCCCTACAATATAAGCCTCTTTTAAAATTAATTATATTATTATAGTTTTATTTAACCAATTATAGTCAGAGAAGAAAAACAAATAGTTTGAAATACAACCAATAGTTTAGGAAGAAAAAGATATGCGGAAAAGTTCATAGATTACAAATAGTAAAATCCAACCTTCACTACCAAACCAGAATGCACACCCCTTCTTTTCATGAGCATTAACAGTGACTCTTCGTAACCTCCATGATAAAATCCAGTAACAATAGCTTCCTTACCACTTGCCTGTTTTAAAAAATATACATTATTAACTGAATAAACAGATAATGATTTTTGTAAAAAAAAAAAATTATGTACCCTATTGGGCTAGTTCAATTGGTCTCCTCTTGTTTACAACCAAAATGCCTTCTCACTTAACCATATTTTCTACTATTTATTTCAAAATGCAGAATTTCGTACAAATCAACCAAATTTGTTTCCTCTTTTTGAAATAGTTAAAAGTCTTGGTTATATGACCCTTAAGCTTTAATAAAAGTGAGCTAAAAGTGAAGAAATAAATTCCCAATCTTAATGTAAATATAGTACATGTGATGGAAAAGAAAAATATGTAGCTCTAGGTATAAAAGGAGAAACAAATTCCCAGGCACAGGCATGTTTTTCCTTTGAGCAACCAGGAATTATATTTAAAGGCAAAATTACATCTGCGATCCATAAAGTTTGACCCCTATATTGGATTGGTCCTTAAGTTATTTTCTTCCCAAACTGAACCTTCATGTTACATTTTGTTTTTGACCCCTATATTGGATTGGTCCTTAAGTTATTTTCTTCCCAAACTGATGGTCTTTAAGTTATACTCATCTGGCAATGTTGTCTTTTATATTACTTTTTATGACTGAACCGCAAATTTTGTTTCACAAGAAATGAACGGCATAAAGATGGCCATTCATCATGACTCACACTAAAGATGAATTACTCTCAGTTTTGAATTCGCGAACTCGAAACATTGCTCCTAAATGAAGCCATTGTTGTGAAAAGGTACTCTGGTTTCAAGGTTTTTGGGTTTGAGGATTTAAATAAGAAAAAAGAGAAATCTAACATATTTGAGACTCATTTTTGGCTAAAACGAGAGAGAACTAACAATTTTAAATCATATGTATGGGAGTGAAATTAGTTATTGCCAAAAGAGAGCTTAATGGCATCAATTATTGTTTTCTTAACGGCATTTGAGAATTGTTGTTTGACGTCATCAATCAATGCAGCATTAACTCCTTCACTTACCACTCCATTTATAGAGTCTTTCACTGCATATTTGATTGAACCATCAATAGCAGATTTAAGAGCCCCTAAGAAATCAAAATCAACAACTCTGGAACCGCCGATGTGATTCTTACCGCCACCGTTCACAGGACCTCCATCGTTCAGAACTTCATTGAAGGCAACGAGATCATCGTTGACATCATCTTCAACTCCACCATTCAGAACTTCATTGACGACAACGAGATCGTTGTTGACATCATCTTCAACTCCACCGTTAAGAACTTCATTGAGGGCGACGAGATCGTCGTTGCCAACATTTTCAACTCCACCATTGCCCTCAATGAAGTTCTGAACGGTGGAGTTGGAGATGATGTCAGCGACGATCTCGTTGTCGTCAATGAAGTTCTGAACAGTCATGTGAACGGTAACAATCACATAGGTGGTTCCAGAGTTGTTGAGTTTGATTTCTTAGATGCTCTAAATTCTGCTATTGATGACGCAGTGAAAAACTCCATAAGCAGAGTGGTACGTGAAGGAGTCAATGTTGCTCTGAGTGATGACGTAAAACAACAACTTTGCAATGCCGTTAAGAAAGGAATGATTGATGTCATTAACAAGATGTGATGAATCAAGGGTAATAAGTTAATCCATAAGGAAAAATCAGAAACAAAAAAGTATATGCTTTGTTTATTTCGTGATGTATTTTTTTTTTCTTTTTGTGATATTATGTGATGTCGTCCTTTGAATATTGATGTGATGATGTTAGTATTCCACATGGTACAAATGCGGATGTTAGTATTACAAGAAGATTAATTTTACTTTATAGTCTTATTTGGATGCAAACCATGCTCTCTTTTGGCTATGACTAATTTCAGTCCCATACATATGATTTTAAATTGTTAGTTCTCGCTCTCGTTTTAGCCAAAATTTTGAGTCAACTCAATACTAAAATGCAAGTGCGCTTTTTCTATTAAAAAAACTTATTAAAAAGGCTAATAGTACAAACAAAATGTAACATAAAAGACCGATTCGGGAAAGAACTACTCAAAGGACCAATACAAAAAAAAATCAAACTTAAAGGCCACACACATGATATTGTCTTATTTTTAATCATCGACTTTCACAAAGAACTCTACTTTGGTAATTTTTAACATCAAAGGATTCATGTTCTAGATGGTATAACTTGCTAAAATTCCTTTAGCTAAAATCTCTGCCAGCATTGAAGTATTACATTACAAAATTGTGCTGAGAAATTCAACTGGCCCCAAAATTACCATAAACTTTTCTTCATGATTTACTTAATAACTTCCATGTGCTTAAAACTCTCTTACCTTGTGAATCTGGTATGAAGCATGTGAAACTAAATGGTCATATTATTGAGGAAAGATAGTGAGGTAGAAAAACCATTTGTGAATTCTTTTAACAGATAATGATGATGCATCGAAAATCAACAAATAGACTATGCAGATGAATTCATAATTCACTGAGACTTTTTAGACAGTGCATCAAGTTTTCTGTATGATTGTGACTTTCAAATTTTAAATATGCAACAGTAATAATCAATAAACTAAACTAGACCAGTAACACTTAACAATAGATAAAGTCTAAGTCCCACCTTTACATATTGCTGAACCTTTTCAGTTGTTGCAAGTGGAGGGCGCTTCTTTATGTGCTCCCTTATACCAATTAAAGAGTATCTGCAGAAAAATAACAAAATTTAACCTACCCTATTCCAATAGTACTGTTATACAACACATATACATAAACACAGCCCCATACCAAACATTACCCCAATTAGCAATATAATTTAGCTTAAAATACTATTTACCAATCATTTATTTTTACTCATCTTTACTTATCATTTGAATAGTTAGACATAAAGAAAAGGTGGAATACGCATTCTCTCCAAATTATTTCTTTTTGTTTTTTTCTTCTGATCCACATACTGGATAAGTCCCTATAGTTATAACACATTCAATTAGTCCCTAGAGTCCAAAAACATTTGAAAAATGTCCCTATAGTTTCCAAATAATGAAAATAGCCCATATAACTTTTTAACAAGGTAATAATACGGTCTCAATTTGATCTGACAAGTTTCACTCCAAAAGGGAAGCAAACTTATGCAACAGGGCGTATTTACATTATTCCAAAACAGGAGGGTCTTTATTCAATGGTTTTGATGTGTAAAGATTAAATATAATTTAGACTAAAACTGTTTATGGGACTGAATGAGTTATTGTTCAACCTATAAACTCCAGATGTCTACAAGTAGATGAGTAACCAGGACAAGGCAACTTCACAAATTTTAGAATTTCCAAAAGAAAAGCATCAAAACTTTTCCCAATAGAATCTCATAGCTAATTAGGCCTAGAGAAATAATATATGGTTTGATGCTCATACAGAGACGGGCGAGCTTCATGCTGACTTACATAAGCAAAACCAACTTCATCATCCTGGAACAAAACAGAGAAATTGTTAGAAATAGCATACATAAGATAATTATGATTGTACAGTATCATGTAAATATGAAAAGAATAACGCTGCAACACACTCTAACACACTTTCAACACTTTTTTATTGGTTATGAGTCCTACCAAATTTAAATGGGAGACACGTGATTTGGTGGAGCTCATATGAATTTTAACCAATAAAGAGTATGTGTTAGACTTAGAGAGTGTTGCTACTCGCTAGCACTTTTCAAAATGTAATGTTCATCTTTGTATACTTGTATATTATGACACAAAATTTAGCTCTGCCATGTAAGAAACTGGATTCACTCATGCAACTATTTCGAGGAATGCCAGCTCTCAAGTCTCACCACCATCACACAGTCCACTTTTTTTATTTATTTAAAGAGTGTCACAGTTCAGGTTCCATTGCCATATACGATGGCAATTCTTTCGCTTGTCTCTACTATTCACTATTTAACTGGTCCTTTGCTTTTTGGTTTTGATGCCAATAATCCCACTCACTTTTTTATTTAGTGAATTTATGAGGGGCCCATTTCTAATATATGATAGGACCAACATGAATCTCCCCCAACAAGAGAGTGACAGTTGGAAAGAGAGTGTAAATGCGAGTGTTACTAACACTACTCTTTGGGTAAAAAGTCCTAATTCTCTAAATTCTCTACCTTATTTGCAAAATGTTTCAATGGCTAATGGTTCTCAAACACAATCCAAAGGGAGTAGGTAATATCATCACTTCCCTAATTGTTAGCTTATCAATATGGTCCAGGTTCCCATTGAATTTGCTCTGCATTAGTTGCTTGATTGTGACATATCCTTCATTGTATTTTCTATTTTCTCTATAAAGGAAGTATATGGTAATATGTACACACATAAGTCATATTTATAATCACAGATTAAGATATAAAGGGATCCCTCATAAATACATAAGAATCAATAAAATTTCTAATAATTTGTACATGCTATTTTTTAACAAAATAACCCTGTGTTAAATATGCTTTCCAACACTCCCCCTCAAGGTGTATCATATATGTCAAATGAGTCAAGCTTGTTAAAAATGTAGTCAACACGGGAGCCTCAGGGACTTAGTGCATATGTTAGCCAGCTGATTACTAGAGTTGGCAAAATCAGTTGTGGTTTCCTCTGAAAGCACCTTCTCTACTGCAAAGACACTCTATCTCTATATGTTTGCCAAAATGATCACATTTGTAAATGTTTTCACTAAACCTTTGTGAGGTCCTTGTATAACTAGTACATGTAACAAGCTAAATACACATGATTTATATACGCTCTAAATTGAGGAAGCATGTTAGAAATAATCTAAACAGGGTAGCCAATACATGTAACAAGCTTGATGCATGTGATTTATACATGTGCAGATTCACTCGTACGCGCTTTCATTGTCCTCTATCTCAACTCTCACAGAATAGTATTATCTATAGTGGCTAAACAAAGAAAGGTAATCATTGTAATGCTACAAAATATTTGTAGGAAACAAAAAGACCTCGAGAAGTTTCTTGGCGTTGAATGGGGATAAGCTTATATTCGCCCCCATAAACTTCAACATCTGCTCTTCAGTTATACCTCCCTAAATACAGACAAGCATTCAAAGATTAAATATCAGAGGATAGAATTTCAAAAAGGAAAGTATCTCAGTTTGCCACTTAAGTAACCTAACCAACCGACACTGAAAAAATTCACACCTTAGGAGGCATCCAATCTACACCATGAAGCAAGCAGGATTCCCCATAACAAGATCTAACAGCAGCAACAAATAATGTACTCCTGAAGAAGCGTGTATTTCCATCATAAGGCTCACCATAATGAGTCAACGATTTGACATCAGCCACAGGAGGGGGACCTAAGAGAATCAATTTATGAAACAACTAACAATAGCTATACTAACCATGCTAATTTAAAAAGTAACAAAACACAAGCCATAACAAAATTCGAAATCATATTAAAACTCATACCAATTTCCTCATCAAATGCGAGGCAATATGCTTTTAACTCACGATCAGTTTCCCGATTCATGCGTTGACCAATCAAAAACGCCGCAAGCAAAGCCTCACTTGCTCCGTGAGTCTTTTCGCCCCCTTCTTGGAAAGGAAGAACTTCCTTCAACACACCTTGGACTTCCTCGAATCCAAGATGGCCACCTGCCAACACCTCTCTAAGAGCACCGACCAATCTCATTTCAGTAGTACCATTGCCAACAAACTGTGGTCCAATTGAACTTCCCAACCCCATCATCAATCCTTCAGGATCAGCCAGGAATACCACATCGGGTGGAAGAACTCTAACTAGAAGTGGCCAAAACGTCTTCATTGCACGAATCTCCCCTTCACTCCATTGTGTTGCCTCAGGAAAGGCATTTGCACGAATTGTCATTGCTGCAAAGAATGCCCCCATTTGTGCTTTGGAAACTTCTTCTTCATCCTTAATCTCTCCCCTAGCTGAAATCAAATATCAAAAATAAGCAATTACATGCTATAAGCTCTTAATTAACTTAGTTACACCACCAGGTTCATAGCACACTGTAACGTGAGATAAAAGAAAGAAGAACCTGATCTAAGAATTGTATCAAACACCTTGAAGGCTTGTTCATCATCAAGTGGTCGAGTTTGAGTTGGACCGGTACAAACCCTAGTTTGAGCCTCCAGCACTGTTTGGTTAGGCTTAGTCAAGGTCGAACTCCGATACGAAGAGGACAACGACGGATTCCGAACATCGAACTCCGGAACTCCGAATTGCTCAACGGTGGTCGAATCCAAAAGAGCTTTCACCGTCAAAGAAAGCTTTCTATGCAGAATACGACGGTTGCGATCTTGGAGAAAGAGGTTGGGGAATGGATGAGGATGAAAACGAGTGGGGTTTGGGGTTTTGTTGGGGAAAATTGAACTGGTTTGGGAGAGAATAGGTTCGGGATTTAGTAAAGCTTTCATGGCTTTTTAAGTGTGCGCGCTTTTTTTCAGTGTATATATTTGATGATGACGGGTTTCCTTTTTTTGTTCCGATCAGCACGAGGAGAAATGAAAGAAGAATAGAAACAGAAAAACTCAACGCTGCTATGAAGAGAGAACGGGTTACGTGCAAAGTTTTATTTTCTATATAAAAGTATATTTTTTAACAAAATCATTTTTGATAAAAATTTGCACAAATTTGTACGTTGTACCCAAAAAAAATTACACTAAGTCATTATTAAAACATAAAATTTTCTATAAAAATAAGACTTGAATTATATTTACATATATCAATGAAATTAATAGCTTTTGTTATTTTCGATACTGTAACACCATAGTTTATATGTCTAGAATAATCAGTATTAATTTATGATTTTGAATATGTTAAGATTACATACATGACTTTGGCTTTTATAACTTTGATAGCTTTAGTTATGATTTAGGAGAGAGAAAGTAAAATAATTAGAGGAGAAGTAGATGAGTGAGAGAGATATAGGAGAGATAGAAAGAAAGTCGCCGTGATTTTTCCTCCCTTAAGTCACCCAAACTCAATTCATTAAAATTACTGCATACAATTTTTGTTTTTACAAAGCGAAACATAACCTAATAGTTTATTTGTTCAGTAGAACAAAAATATAATTGAATTATTATATGAATATATATTTATCTAAAAATAGAAATAATTTGAGGTGATATATTAATTTTATAGGTTTCTTACTTAGAACTATCAAACATCTCACTATCACTACTCAGGTTAAGGTGCAACCTTATGACTCCATATGTCTAACATGATTTCCACCACAAAATATCTCGTCCAACTAAGCATATATACTAAGCATATAATCGTTTTGTTTACTGTTAAAATTAGTAAATAACTGTTGGTTTTTTAAAAATTTAATTTATTTGCAGGATTAACCAATAAATCTTAAGGACATAGTTATTGTGTTAATGTATTTTTGAGAAAAAAATAATAAACACTTCGACACCATTCATTAATGTAAAAAATTGTTATGATTGTTTGTTAAAAGAACTAAATTTTGCAAAAATTTATAAAAGAAATGCAGTGAAGAAAATAACTTCAAAATAAAGAAATGCAGTAAAGAGCAATTGATAAAAAGAAAGTAAATTCTTATTGAATAAAATATGGTGTTTCAACGTCTATTTTTCAACAGTAACTCTTTTCTCACGTTAACTTTGATACTTTGAGTAAATTTTGAGTGTAGTACAACAATTGAACACGCGAAATCATAATATTAAGACTCAAATTTATAATGCGTCGAAATAATTGTCTCCAACGAGCATTTCTCCAAAAGTTGTCATGTTTCGCCATGCATGTCTTCGTTTCACCATAGTTCTCCACGTGTCTCTCCTGAGAAAACGGATAAGGATAAAAGACAGTTATCTATCCGTATTTTGAAATTCAAACTTCTTCCGAAGGAAGGCTCCACATCATCCCTTCGTCAAAGTAATCTTTTCATACTTAGAAAATATTTCTAAGTTTTTGTCCAAGCATGTCTCCTTATGAGAACCACTTCGACAGAACTACACGTTAACTTCTGTCGAAGTCGACCAAATTTAAGAAACTTTAAATTTCACTTAGTTTCTCAAATGGGAACATGGCGTCAAAATTCTCAGCCAACAAATTGCCCCCAAAAATTTCATTTTCGACTAAGTCGAGAAAAGGGCATTTTTTGAAGTTTTTCATATTCGACGTTAGAAAACCTTTGGACTGTTATGACGTCATTGTTGTCGCAACTGCGAAAAATACCTGGCAGAAAAAAATAGAAGAGTCGCCACCTAACGTCATTTATCCCAACGGGGTAAAGGAAACGATCGAAGAAAATCTCAAAAAGGGAGAAGAGATGGTCTCGCAACCAAATCCTGAGTTTAGGAGTCGATTACGCGAGAGAAAGGTATTAGCACTCCATCGCGTCTGTTGTACTCAACGGGATCCACGCTTGTTGTTCTAATCAAAGGGTGTGTTATCTAAAGCTTACTACAAAACAGAAATGAAAAGGAAAAAGAAAAAAGAGACTCGATAGGAATTTGTCGTCCTACGCCTACGTATTCCCTCGTACAATGAGAAAGTCAGAGTCAACGTAGTTCGGAAAACTACGGGTGAAAGGGGGGAAGGTTGTTCGCCAAGACTTCGTCGTTTCGTGCCTACATATCCTCATTCGGACAAGAAAGAGGAAATCAGAGCAATCGTAGTTTGACATACGGGTCGATAAGTGTTTTTTATGAGCGACGTTAAGTTTGCGTTCCAGCAGTTAGGGTCGATGCATGTTTGCGGCAGAACGGAAATAACACATTCTTTCTAAAAATGATTTGACAAACGACCCTGAAAAATGAAAATGATTTGAATTGGTTTGAGAATCGTATTGCACTAAATCATATGATATAGTAGCGAATGCGTCGCAAGATCGCCCCCAAACGGGACATATGCTAAACACTCTAGACGAAATAAGGAGAGACTCCCCACTCATCATTTCCCATCTACTTAAGACTCATGGCGCACAATATTCATCGTATTTATTAGGTGTTTTGATGTTGTTTTAAGAGAGAAGAAGAGAAAGACGCACGGGAGGTCTAAGAGGAAAAATCGGCCCTAACGTTGTCATGCAAAATGGTACTAAGGTCGGGATGCAAAAGGAAATTATATCCTAATGTTAGCATACAAAAGTGGACCTACGATTGAGGTTAAGAAGGGACTAGCCTAATGTTATCATGCATGGATTAACTCCTAATGTCTATCCTACTCCAAGCTTAATCAAAAATTAAGTTGGACTAGGAGGCCTTAAGGGAGCATACAAGAACAAACCAAAACGAGGAAAACAAACCAAAAACAGCTGCAACGACGGCGCTCCAGCTTCGGAACAGCAGTAAAAACCCAGCAAGTAAGCAAGACAACATTTAACAACTCATGTTTCAGCATATAACAGGTGTAAAAAGCAGCAGGCAGAATGGATGCACAATTAATAACATGCTAAAATCCAGAACAGCAGGTGTGAAATGTCAGGCAGCATGTATGCATCAACACTAAAGCAATACTTCAAGCAAGCAACGGTCATCAACAAGCATGCATAGCACAGTGAACATGTATCGATAATTAAGCACAAACAAGTTCAACAAGATTGCACAATTAAGTATTGCACAAGAATATCATGCAAATCAATCTCGATTAATCGTTTCGAACAATCATGTATGTGCAGAATCGGAAACAAACATAAGCATGTGAAACATATCTAGCAAGACAAACATCAAAAACAACAATCAACGTTATGCCAACGAATATGCAACATAATCATCACTCAAAAAATGCAACACAACAATCATAGATGTTCATCAACAAAAACCAAAAGTCGCGTGTCGAAGAATCACGAGCATACTATCGAGGATGATAAAATAGGTCAAAAACAGTCCACATATATGCATCATATCAATCCATAAGGGTTAAGGATGAAAAGGAACCCAAACAAGCTTGAAAATGCAAGAAAAAAACCCTTCTATCACAGTGGTAGTCGATTACCTATATGTGGATAATCGATTACCCACTTGAAAACTTCAACAAAACAAAACGTGAAAAAGGGACAGAGTAATCGATTACCCATATGTGGTAATCGATTATCACTGTGACAGTGGCAGAAATTCAACTTCCAAAAAGCACTTTTAGCAGTAAATCACTTATCTAATAATCCAAATGAATAAGCAATCAATTATACACGGAAATTATGCCAAATCACAACAATCAAACATCAATTGGATCCAACAAACACAAAAATCAATAATCAAAACAAGCAATGGATCAAATATCACCAAAAAGCCAAGGATCCACATTGTGAAATGCAAGATTAAGAAAAATCAGAGTTAGATCTAGAATTTACCAACCTACAAAGCTGAGATTTGCTTTGATGAGTATTGTTAAGATGCAATTAATATATCCAAGCAAGAAACCCAAGGATCTATGAAGCTCTAGCAAGAAAACTTGAAGATCTAAGCAAATAATCCACAAATAAGCAAAAGCTCTTCAAGAAGTGATTTCACCAACTTAATTCAAGATCCAAATGAATTAAAAAACCAGAATCGAACCAAGAAGGATGATGCAATAGAGGTTTATCTCAAGAGTTCACAAATTGCAATGTACAATTTATGAAGCTTTTGGCTATGGAGCTTTTATGAGGGTTTTGGAATGAGAGAAAAGTTGAGAGAATTGGAGTGACATGTGTAGAAAAATCAGAAAATGAGTGAAAGTTATGAGAGGTTTGGAGCAAAATGATTTAAGTATGGTTTAGGTTTGGAGTGTGGGTCAGTGTTTGGAATGGAAATTAGGAGTGAGATTAGGAATGAAAATGTTTGAATTTTTGGAGAGAATTTGAATTAATTAGAAAATAAATCAAATTGGAAACACTTTCAGATCCTTCTACTGATGCACATGGAAAATCACATGACCAAAATCCAATCCAAGTTGTAGATGTATTTGATTAACTGCATTTTATGGTAAAACCTTGTTGTGTGTGTAGATGTCATGATTGATGTCATGACATGCGTGGGTAGTGTTCTGCAGGGTAAGTTTGGTTGGCTAGAACAAAGTGTATTGGATGTCATACTGAATGTCAGGACATTAGGTAGCTAACATCAAGGGCGCGTGTTTGTCTTTCTAGTATAATGATTGAGTTAACTCAGGCTAGATTCCAGGAAACATTTTAGGGCGCTTGGTTATCTTAGGCGAAATTCTAGGCAGTGCTGAGGATAACATAAAATGCCTATGACCTAATTGTAAGTGCACAAGTTTATGAAAAGAGGTTTGACTTGGTTAAACCTAATTGCTACACTGAGGCCCAAGGAACTGACACTACCTATAAATACAAAAGTGGTAATCCTGATTCAAGGACGAAGACTTAGAGATTTTACAGAGTGTCTTGTGAGCTATTTGTGAGTGAAGAATTTTGTTTGTTCTTCACGTGTGTTTTGTGTCTTAGGAT